CCCGTGTCCCCTGCATCAGCAGGCGGACTCTCAACCACTGCGCCACCAGGGAAGCCCTTAAGTCTCATTTTTAATCATGCTGCTAATTTACTACAGTAAGTGACCCCAGATTAATTTAAGCATAGATTGAAAAATTGAGCAAGATATGTTTTTATTAGCCCTAAAAGCAGTTGGTACATTCCCTTGAGAAAGAATATAGTTTGGTTATTTATCTCCCTCCCCTAGACTCTGAGTGCATAAGAGCAGGGGTTTCTGTCTGCTTAGAGTTGTATCTGTAAAGTCTAGAGCAGGACGTGGCAAATAGTAAGTACTCAGGATAAATGTAGAAGGAAAAACATTGCACATAAACTTGATTAAATACCTATAAACAATGTTTAATAAAAATATAATTTTCAGCAATAATTTTTCTAGATTTTCTTTCTAGTTGTCCAGTATGTCATCTTATACTAGTACCTTATTTATTGTACCTAATGATTTAGTCTTATTTATTAACTTTAACTTTTCCCTCATTTATACTCTTGTGATTTTTCTAATCTTCACTTCATCCATGGAGTTAAATAATCTTTTATACCTTTGGCCGCAATTTTGCCGTATCAACTGCTAGGTCATTTACTATAGTGAATCATGTACCAAGTCACTTTTCCCTCTGCCCTGTTAGTCCACCATCTCCCGTAGACTGTCTCTCCATGAATTTGAATTCTGCCAACTGCTGTCACCATTTGGAGAGTCCCCCTTGTATGTTGTCATAAGGGATTAAGGTCTGCTTTTCCATTTTTAAAAATTGATTGTATGCGGAGCCCTCTTCCTAACTTGTCACCTCCCATCATCTCCTACAAAAAGCATTTGCAGTCCTTATTTCTGCCCTGCATCAAAAAAGGAAAGTATAGGCTTCCCTGGTGGCTCAGTGGTTGAGAGTCTGCCTGCCGATGCAGGGGACACGGGTTCGTGCCCCAGTCTGGGAAGATCCCACATGCCGCGGAGCGGCTGGGCCCGTGAGCCATGGCCGCTGAGCCTGCATGTCCGGAGCCTGTGCTCCGCAACGGGAGAGGCCACAACAGTGAGAGGCCTGCGTAGTGCAAAAAAAAAAAAAAAAAAAGGGAAATATGTTCTCACATGCTCATTAGTGGTTTCTGGAAAGTAGGTATCAGTTTATTTGCCATTTTGAGCACATCTAATACCAGGGTTGTGACTGTTAACTGCAAGTTAAGTACCGTGAGCTTGCCTTCACTTGCTCTTTTCCAAATAAAAGGTATGGCCCGATCATAGGAAATGTTAAGCTAAGAAATCAGTGTATTGAAATAGTTTTGGAGTTCTGAATTGAGATGTTACAGAATATTGGCAGTTGAAGCTCTGGGTAAGCCCAGTACGAAGGAGGAATGGAAGAGCAATAAAGGCTTGTCTGGTGTGTCTTCACACAGTAACAACTGGGCTCTGAGTCGCTGAAGCGTGCCTGCCGGAACCTGTGTGCAGCTCTTTCAGCTTTGCAGAACAGCTGTCTGAAGAATGCATTTGTACAAAGGGGTTTGAGGATTGTTTGTAACCTTTAAGTAAGAAGTTTACCTAACTGATAATGTAAAATGTGAAACCTACACGATAGTTCAAAGAGTTGCTTTACCTGAGCATTTGTCTCCTTTTGAACAGTGCCAAGCTAAGCCATATGGTGCCATATGCTTTGAAATAACTGGTTTGCTTGGAGTTTGGAAATGAAATTAGTTATTTAACCAGTTTAAACAGTATATAAAGTTTAAAGTTCATTTACTTTCATAGGAGAAAAATAGTGTATTCATTTTATTCCAGCAGTATAGTTCCTGTTTTCTTTTAAACCAGAGTCTTTCTCTCAGTGGGTTCTGGAACTTAGATTTCACTCCCGCAGTTGGGTTTTCTAACCACTGGTCCTATATTGGCCAGAGCAAGGAGATGGTATCTGATGGAATGGCTTTTGCATGCAGGCTCTAGCATATACCAGCTTCATGATCTTAGGCCAGTTAGGTGGCTGTTCTGAGCTGTTTCCCCATCCTTAGAATGTGAGGGGGTGATCAGAGTCAGCCCATGGGGTTATGGGTAAAAGCAATGCCTGTTAAGTTCAGATTACATAAAGGGCACAGCTATGTGGTATTGTCACTTATTCAGAAAAAGGGATGCTGTTCATTCATCCAGCTTCTTAGGGTACCTGCCAAGTTCTAGATAAAGAAAATAGGAAGACAAAAATGACTTGATCCTGCTTCAGAAAAGCTTACAGTTGAGTATGTCCCTTGGGTCTTATGTTTCTTGACCTAGGTTTTATTGGTATAAATGAGACTAGATCTAAGAGATTTGCTTCTCTTTTAGTGGGTGCAAAGGTGCTCACCCAGATGTGCTGTAATTTGTCATCTTGACATTGAAGGACCGGTCTGTTATATACAGAATATAATATATGAAGTGTAGTAGTAATTTAGTGATATGCTTGGCTTCAAATATAATTATTTGTGGCACAGTAGGGGGGTTTTTAGCAACTGATCCATTTAAACATAAAACCTTTACCTGTCATCAGGTTACAAATTTCCCAACTATACAGATCCTTTTAAAAAAAAAAAAAAAAAATCGTGATGGCAATTATGATTAATTTTCTGTATTAACAAAACTTGGTTAAGGTTTTTTGTTGTTTTTTTTTTAAGTGAATTGCCCCATATTTTGGTGTTCAGAATAAGGGGTTTCTTTTTCTTTATTTTTTCTTTATTTTTTTGGCTGCATTGGGTCTTCTTTGCTGCATGCAGCCTTTCTCTAGTTGCAGCAAGTGGGGGCTACTCTTCGTTGCAGTGCACGGGCTTCTTGTTGCAGTGCACGGGCTTCTCATTGCAGTGGCTTCTCGTGGAGCATGGGCTCTAGGCGTGTGAGCTTCAGTAGTTGCAGCATGTGGGCTCAGTAGTTGTGGCACACGGGCCCTAGAGTGTGCGGGCTTCAGTAGTTGCAGTGCATGGGTTCAGTAATTGTGGCTCATAGGCTCTAGAGTGCAGGCTCAGTAGTTGTGGCACATGGGCTTATGTGCTCCGCGACATGTGGGATCTTCCCAGACCAGGGTTCGAACCCGTGTCCCCTGCATTGGCAGGCAGATTCTTAACCACTGTGCCACCAGGGAAGCCCTGGGACAGCATATTTATGGTCCCTTCTGTTCCCTAAGAGCAAGTGGAGCTAAAAGTCAGAACATATACTTTCTGACTTACTGAACATATCTCATATACTTTCGCACTTGAGGAGAGTATATGTACGGAAACTGGGCATTCAGTAGCTAAGCAAACAACTTACAAGGTATTTAGTAGTCCACTGCATGCAACAGGAAGTGTGTTTGAATTACATGATCACTGCTGTTTCAGGAAATTAAGGCAAATCAGCTTTATACAAAACAAACCCAGTTACTAAGAAATAAAGAGGTCCATTTACTGTGGTTTTGTTGTTGGTTAACATTGAATATACTTTGCCAGATTTGTTTTTTCTGGTTGTATTTATACCTAACATTTATTCCAAAGATATATCTTTTGCTTGTGTGTATCCCAGCCAAGCCATTTTTAGCAGTAAACCTGTTGAGTGACTTCTTGTACACCATTAAGATTGCTGCTGCCAAGTTGTACATCCAAAGGCTGTGTCTTCTAGCCTTGATAAAATAGGAGTTTAGCTTCTACTAGCTACATGTTGAGCAAGATCTACATTTACAAGTAGCTAACAGTTTTTATTTTTTAAAAGAAACTTATCACAAGATGTTTTTAGTGCATTTGTTGGTGAAAATAAGTCCTTGGCAGAATTACAACATTGCATGTAGGCGGTCTTTTTGAAAGAGCCAAGTTTTATCATTTATTTTCATTAGAAAATATAGTGGTTTTTACCATGGATTCCCAAAATAATAATACCTGCTTACTTTAGTGGCAGGTAGGGGGTTTGCAATAAAAATCGTTGGTCAGAATATTGAAGAGGTATTTTTAGAAATACTGAAGGATTGTAACTTCTTAATATAATTTGCTTTTTGGAACATCAGTAATACTCAAGCAGATTTTTTTTTTCCAATTTCACTTATAATATTTCCTCAAAGAGTCATGCTTGTAAATTTTGGGGGATGTTGGGGGGAGCAATTACTGATTCATTCCTTTGATGTTGGATATCTCCATGAAAAAAAGGTAAAGGGGAGGGGGTAGGGAAGGGGCTAAGATTTGAGTAAACAAGTACAGATTGGAAAATGTTTGCTTTTAATATTTAGGTTCATCGTAAACTTGAATGCCTATAGAGAAGTATTAATATAACTTTGAGGACATGAACTGAGTTTTTATTTTTACCTGAGTGATAGCAGGAAGGTTAAACATATTTTTTAGACAACAGTATTATTTGTATTACTGCTCTTTTCACGGATTAGTGTTCAAGCACCCAGAAGAAGATATTTGTGTGTGTGAAAAAGTTCAATATTAATAATGTCTTTGGACAAAAACGTAACATAACTGCACTGTTTGGTGACAGTTGTATTTTTATGTATTTATTTAATTCATATATAGCACTTTTTAAGTGCCTGGCACTGTTCTAAGTACTTTACAGATATTCATCCAATATTAACTCATTTAATGGTTAATCATTTATTCTAGTTGTTAGAGACCATAGAAGAAAATGATTTGAGGGTACTGTATATTTTTCTATTTTATTTATTTTTGTTGTTGTTGTTTCTTCTGTTTGTGTGGACCTGGGACCCTTAGTCTCAGGGCTGGCAACAAATCACTTGCAGAACTTGTAGTTCTGCTTTTAATGCTCAGTACATGTGAAAGACTCAGTTTTGAAATGCTAAGGAGTTTGGACTGAACTAGTTTCTGTGTTAAAATTGTAAAACTTAACATTTCCAAGAAAATAAAGCATTTGATGAATAAATAAAACTTATACCTGTCCCACCCCTCTTTTGTTTCATTAAACATATTTTATGTTTACATGCTAAAAGAAGTTGTTAGACATTATTTTAAATTCTACAATGTCTGTATCCCTGCCTGTTCTAGCATGCTGAAAGATGACCTTCAGCTCAGTGACAGTGAGGACAGTGACAGCGATCAAGTAAGTTCTGTACACCCCACAGTACCAGGAATTCATTTAAATCCATGTAACATTTCTGAGCCGCTTGTCCTAACCTGATTTTTGTTTTTTTCCTGGTCCTTCTTCCCGTTATTGTGAATGCCTAGACCCCAGAGAAGCCTCCGTCCACATCTGCACCTCCAAGGTACTGTGTTTGGGGTTTTCCCCATCTGTACAAAATGTTTGCTTTTTTCTACCAAATGGGGAAATTACAGCCTTATTTAGTATTTTCATAGCTTCTTCATGGGAGAAGGAGATGGATGATCACAGTTAAAAGAAAGTACCTGTTTAATATTTTGGAAGCTTAAATCAGCCCTAGAGAGGTTGTTAACTCTATGAGAGAGAGAGTCCCTGCGTCCACCTAAATCTTTAGTCAGTTTTCTATGTGTAAAATTTGAGCATTTAAAATAAGCTTAAATCACTTTCGTCAGTATTATGTAACCAGTATTTGAAAAGTTATGCTGAAGAGCTCGGTGTTTTTATGAAAGTGACAGATTTGCTCTGTTTTCAAAAATTAAAGCTGAATTATTTCTAGAAATTGTTTTCCATAGTGCCTGTCTTCATAGTTATATGAATTTTCTAATTGTTTCAGTTGCTTTAAAAGATGACCTGCAGGGGACTTCCCTGGTGGTCCAGTGGTTAAGACTCCATGCTCCCAATGCAGGGGACCTGGGTTCGATCCCTGGTCGGGGAACTAGATCCCACATGCTGCAACTAAAATATCCCACACGCTGCAACTAAAGATCCTGCATGCCGCAACTAAGACCCGAGCAGCCAAATAAATAAATATTAAAAAAAAAAAAAAAAAGACAACCTGTAGTACATTTTGGTATGATGGAAAATGGCACTGTTTTCACTTTGTAAACAGCTTAGCCATATTTTACAAAATGTAATGCTTTCGTTTTTAGAAACGGAAACTATCTGAACTACCTTTATTTACCATTTCCTCTGGTACTGAATTTAATGATTTAATATGCCAATACCTGTCCTCCGTGGACAAAGAGTTAAATTACCCTGTAGTTGTTTTACTCCCTTGAGATGTGGTCATCAATTTTGAGACAAGCTCAGCACTAAAAACCTTGCTCTCATATAGCTGAGGTTATAGTTAATGTGGAGGAAGATCATGCATAATTATGTGAGGTCTTAAGGATTCGTAAGCTCTGCTTATTTATATCCCATTTTGTTCAGTAATTCCTGGTGGCTTGTAACGACTTAGAAAATATGACAAAAGTAACCTAACTGAAAAGTGGACGAGGGAATAAAAGGAAAAAAAACAAGGTGGGGGGGGGTATAATTAGAGGCAGGAATAATACTGAAAGTATATCTGTTTTTGACCATCACTTGGTTTAAGCTCTTCAGCTACCACAAATTTGACATGAGAAAATTCTGTTTTTGTATAGTGTTTGTTTTAAAATTGTCTCAACTAGTCACTTTATTATTATCTAATAAATTTGTGTTATTCTAATATAGTTATTTAATAAATTTATTATCTTGAAAATGTTTTTGGTAGATTTGGAGGCTTTCATGATTATAGTTATTGATTTACTGCTGTGGCTAATTCCATCTAGGGCAAGGTTTTAAGGTGCACTTTGAAATTCTCTGTGTGTCCAGCAGTGTGATCACTTGGTGTTTTCTCACAAGCCTAGAGTTATTGCCCTATCCTGAAAACTTGAAGTGTAGTTATTCTCTACTTCAGCTGATATTTGGGCGTGATCCTAAGCCACACTCATAAAGAACGGCCCATTTTATCATTCTGCCCAAGAAGTGTGAGTGGATTGCCTGTGGGGCCACTTTCCAAAGGAACCCCATTTGTGTTCAGCAGTCTCTGACTTCTCTACAGTTGGTTCTCATATGGAGAATAGAGGAAGACTTTAATGGATTGGCTATTCTTTTATAAATTAACTCCTTTGGGTTTTATATTGCAGATGTCAGCAAAGTTAAAGGGTCAGAAAGTCAAGGTTTTAGGCTTTGTGGGCCATAAAGTCTGTGTTGCAGCTAGCATTCAACTCTGCTTTTGTAGTATAGAAGCAGACCACAGACAATGCATAAAATACTGGGTGTGAATGTGTTCCAACAAAACTTTATTTGGAAAAGCAGGCAGCCAGCTCAGGCCATGGTTTGTCCACGCCTGATTTGAAGCACCCCGCATCTCACTTACATTTTACATAGTTCTCAGTGTGCTTCAGAAAAATTCCCCAGGCTTCTTTTATGCAGTTACCTGGTGAGCTGTTGCAAGGCTTTTCACTGAGTTTTGAGCCACCATGGGCCTTGCTTGCGCTCAACTGGCTGCCATGGTCATTTAGTACTGCTAGGTAATCTTTGAGGCCCCTTCTTTCGAGTAGCAGAAAAACGGGCAAAGAAGGAAGGGAGTCAGGAGGGAAGGAATCCACCTCGCGTGGGTCTTTGACTCTCTCGCTTGCTCCGCAGCGCTCCGCAGGCGCTGCCGGCAGCCGCGGCCTCAGCACATTCCAGCAGCGCTGAGTCGGAGAGCACCAGCGACTCTGACAGCTCCTCGGACTCGGAGAGCGAGAGCAGCTCCAGTGACAGCGAGGAGAACGAGCCTCGAGAAGCCCCGGCTCCCGAGGTACTGGTCTGCTCCGGGCGCTCTTGGGAGCGCAGTCGACCCCAGGTGGCCCGGGCTGCCTGAGGGGCTCCGTCCTGGGGGCGGCGCTTTCCGGCCGCCATGCACGCTGCTGGCTATTCGTGTTTACTTGTTTCGTGGCGTTGGGCTGTGGAACTTTGGGAGAGACGTCTTCTCTCCTGTTGAAAATGATAGGTTCTTCCCTGTTGCTGCCAGAGCTGTTTTGAAGAGCAACTCACTGAGAATATATACACCCCATTTTCTTTTCCCTTCTTTCGAGAAAAAAAAAAAAAAACCCAAAAATCATTTTCAGTAGGCTGCCATTTTAATATTAATGAGAAAGCTTTTTGAAATTTTAGGAATGCATGAATTAAATCAAAAGGAGACAGCCTGATTTAGCAAAGGGCAGGAACGTGAACTAGAAATAAGCCGTAAGAGGTTCTATTTTTGAATCACTAAAAGCCATGCTTTAAATTGATGGCGATGTAATTTCGCCAGGGCCATGTTTCTTGATTCCACTGTCCCACGTAAAATAGGAATAGTGCTTTCCTGTCACCCACCCTTGGGAGATATTGTAAAGATAAACAGATGAGACTGAAAATCTCAAGCACTAAATGTATCTGGAGAATTTATGCTCTTTACTGGATTGTTGAACAAAACTAATGTAGTAACAACTAACAAGGTTGCCAAATGTCTTCAAAACTTAGAGTAGCAGGGTAAGATGTTTGCTGGGGAAGACATTTTTAGTGAACTAGACCAGCTGATATAGAGAAAACTGTTCTCTGTATTTAGGTAGGAATCCCAGGAAATGAGATTTTCTGATTAAGAAAGTGTTAAAGTTTTCAGTGTTTGTCTCTGCTGTTTAGAAAGCAAGGTCACTGCACTAGAGCATTAACCAAATCCATCTGGAGATGATGTAGTGAGACTAAGGAACCATGTCCGAGGGCAAGGGAGGATGAAGAAAATACCTGAGCATCGGTTTGTTGTTGTTGTTGTTGTTGTTGTTAGATATGAGTTTATGTCTGGCACAGAGTAAGTGCTCAGTAATTATTTTTGGAGTGAATAAACATAGATCAGCATTAGCTGCACTTGAAGTGCCTTTCAGACTTTAGAAGCTACTCCGTGTATTTCTGGGGGCTCTCTGTTTTCTCCTGAGATACTAATTGCTGTTGAAGTAATTTTTCTGTGCCCCAGGGAAAAGGGTACTGAATATGCTCTACAGAGAAATTGTGTGCTTGTTCATGTTACTGTTCATAAGATCATTGCTTTATGTCTCACCTTATTCATTAAGAAAAATCTGCATGCTTGTTTGGTTACTGATATAAGCAAGAGAATCCAGTTAAATCAAAATTCAATTCAAATAAAATGGAAATGGCACAGACTTGGCTGGATAATTAAAACTTGAAAGAAAAATTTAACCTGGTGTTTGTTTTAATGAAGCACTTACATCTTGTTGCTCACGAGGTTATTGAATAGAATAGATGTAGAGACTCTTAGATGAAAAATGATGTTCCCGTCATATTTTACTTTTTAAAATCACTTTCCTAAATAGGCTCATATTTGTATATTTGTGTTAATGTGCAAATCTAGACTTGAGTATGGTTTTGTTGGGTATGTACCAAGGCTTGACTTCCTCAGGCATATTTTTGTCTTTGTCTAGATTTTAAACCTTTAATTTTTCCCAGTTATTTAACAACCTATCTTTCCTTTTAAAATAAATACCTGCATTATTGTAAACCTGTGTTAGTTGAGTGTTACGTGAATTCCATAATAGGTCATAGTTACTAGTTTTAACTTTCTCACCCTTTTCTTTATTCTATTTTTAATGCTAAGGAATTTGCTCCTTAAGTCTCCATTTTAAATTCATTTGACGAAGTTGTCCAGTGACCTTATGAGACCTGAAATGTTATATGTGTGCCAATGGGCTGGTGGTGAACTTGGGGAAAAACCACTTTCAGTCTCTTCTTTATAGTGAGTCAGCATGTAAATCTCAGCTTTTCAGAATATATGGGACGTATCGCCCTTTTACAGCTTAAGTAAAGTTCAGGGAAAAATGATTCTATTCTGTTATTCAGGGATCTGCTTAGTTTTCTAATCTATTCATTGTCTAATTCTTTGGTAGTAAACAACTGTGGTCGATTATCTACTAAGATCTTGGCACTTTCTTCATATATTACGTAATGTAACCATCAACCCTAGAAGGTTGGGAGCTTTCTTTTCACCTGTAAGGAGTAGCAGCACTAAGACTGAAACCCACAGCCGTTTAACTCAGAAGCCATTTTTTTTTTCCCTACTACATCATGCTACTTCTCTATTTTTTTTCTTTTCTCAAGTTTTGGAGTTGTACTGCCTCACAACAACTATGATGTTTTACAAAAAAAAAAACAACACACAAAAGACATATGTTGTGCATAGCTCAAAACTTTTTTTTCAAAATCATAATTCATTCTAAAATACATGAACTTTTGCCAATTCCAGAAGCTAGGAGAAGTAAAGAGACATACAGTCAAACATTTATTAAAATGCTCATATATTTTTGCACCTCCTCTGTGCAGTGTCTGGGTTGATCCAGCACTGGGAGGCTGGGGGTGGGGCATGGGGAAAGGCTGAGGAAGAAATGAAAGTCCAAACCTTGATCCTCTCCAGCACTTACACTCTTAAAATTCATCTTAAAATCTGTTTTTTATCAATCCCTTATGTAAAACTTTCCCCCATCCCAGCACCCAAATAATACCTAACCTTAAAGGAATTCTATCCATTTTACATCTTTGTAGTAGGTATACAAAAAGGATCACCCCTACCCTTTCCTCTTATCTGGGCACACCAACTCAGTTTTACCCTGCAATTGGGCCATAGGCCTCCCTTCTGGACATTTTCAGTACCGCAGTAGAAGAAAATATGTTTTATTTCTGTAACCAGGACATTCCTTTAGGGACTACTAAATGTATCTTAAATTGCCCTGTTTTGGGGTGTGGGGGGGGAGAAGCGGATGTTATTTATACCAGGAATGACTTTCCCTTTTGGTTAATGTGTAAGTACTCTTCTGTAGAGCAAGAGTGTCACTGATTGCAGTGCAGTTGTCAGCGTAGCCCTGGTGAAAGATCTCTATACCTTTCCCGAGAAAGGGTTTGAAGGATTTGGTTCCTGAGGTAATTGATAAGTGATACATCCTTTTTTTTTTTTTTTTTAAATTTTTACTGGGCTATAATTGCTTTACAGTCTTGTGTTAGTTTCTCCTGTACAGCAAAGTGAATCAGCCATATGTATACATATATCCCCTTTTTTTTGGATTTCCTTCCCATTTAGGTCACCACAGAGCATTGAGTAGAGTTTCCTGTGCTATACAGTAGGTTCTCATTAGTTATCTATTTTATACATAGTTATCAATAGTTATATATGTCAATCCCAATCTCCCAGTCTCCCAATATATAAATGATATATCTTAATGCCTTGTTCCCAATCATTTAACCATTAGAACTACCACGCCCTCAAATCTTTCAAGAAATAATGTCTGACAAGTAGGTAGGTATGGTGTGCTAATCTTTTCTCTACCCTAAACAACCATCCTGTTTTGTTAGAATATTGAATGCAGTTTTAGATTATGTGGGACTTTGTCAGAGTAGTTTCCTTCTTCCCTGTCTCTCTTCCTGCTCTGAACTTCAAATGAGAGCATGGGGATAGAGTTGATATAAGTGGAGGGAACTACAAAGAAGGTATGTTGTCTTAAGCAGGGAAAAAAACAAAAACCCCACAATTCTGTAGCCCTCTTTCTGGCCAAAGTATGATCCTACCTAGTTCCTTAGAGTTCCTCTTAGTTCTATTTTGTTACAATTACACAAAGCCCAGCCTAGCTACCTGATCGTTTTATTACCTAACCTTTTCCTGGCCCCAAAGCCTTTACGTTATATCCACGTATCTTAAACGTATTACGTTTGCGTGTTTTTATAGAATTGAATTGTTTCCACTTGGAAAAATTGTTAGCAGTCTTCCCTATATCATCCACTTACTGGAGCGAGCTCCTTACTCAATCTAATCAGTTAATTCCATGTGAGATATTTTTGATTAACTTCCTGTTGTGTTGTGGAAATGATTTAGTCATTTATACAAACCACCTGTCAGAATGGATCTTAAAAGCATGAAGCATGCCAGTGACATACTGTCCTTTTTTTAAAAAAAAGTAATCATTACTTACTTTATTAAGGCATGAATATTTTCCCAAATAGCATAAAATTTATAGGTACAGTAATACACCCATGAAAAAGCCCAAATAAATATCTCAGGTACACCACTGTGTGCAAGACATAATAGTAGAATTTGGAGATAAAGATGTCCTCATCATTGTTTTAATAAGATCTAATATCCCATGTGGAGAGAGAGAGTGTGATGCATCAATAGTAAGTTAGCAACAAAGATTTTAGCAAGATATCTCCTGTTAAGATACAGGAGAAGTCAGGGACTTCTGTTTATTTGCCAAGTGAGTTGCACAGATAATCAGTATCATCTCACTGCTCTTAATTGTGTGCTCTGGAGCCTCCCTGTGTTTTGTAGAAAAATAGGTGCTATTTCAGAGACTGCCTGTAACAGGAGACTTCATGTTTGATTTTTAAAGAATTCAAGTGGGACTAATGGCTGGCTAATGTGACCTCAATTGGTTCTTTTTACCCAGTTGTAAAATTTGAAAATCAGAAGACAGTGTATCTGTGATAAAGTGAAAGCTGTGTCATGTATTAATATTTTTAAGTGAATAAGAGAAATAAAATCATCTTGAAGGAAGTCATTTTCAATTGACAAGTACATCAAAAAAAGGGATAAAGCGTGAAACCCCATCCATAATCACTAAGACTTATTCATTGACCTTCTTCTGAAAATCCTTGATGAAAAGATTCTTTTTAGTCTTCATTTTTCCCTACCATTTTCTGACAATAGTTCACAAGCCAAAATGTGAAAATTCTGTTTAAATTATATGGTAATTACCAGTGGAACAAAATATTTATTACACAGATTTCTCCACAGATGCCAGTGGTCTACATTGGTCAGTATGTAATGGTCTATTATTAGTGTCAGCCACAGCAAAATTCCTGTAGCATGAAAAAATTGGAAGATTGTTTTAAGAGTTAATTGTTATAGAATTTGACCTATAATTAGAGGGGGGTCAAAAGGAACTGAATTCTTAGGTTTGGAGTGATTGCATCTCCTGGCCAGTCCTATAGGATTGGGTGACTAACCCAGAAGAGTATCATTATTGGTCAGTTAACCCTATCTTCTTTTTCCTTGTTTGTAGCCTGAACCTCCGACAACAAACAAATGGCAGCTGGACAACTGGCTGACCAAAGTCAGCCAGCCCGCGCCGCCCGCCGAGGCCCCGGGCAGCACCGAGCCCCTGGCCCGGCATCCGGACAGTAAAGGCAGGGGTGGCGACGGCGCCACCGGAGGTCACGAGCGCTCGGAGTCCAAAGAGCCTCCCCCCAAAAGCTCCAGCAAAGCTCCCCGGGTGCCTTCCGAAGGCCCCCATGCGGGCAAGAGGAGCTGTCAGAAGTCTCCTGCCCAACAGGAGCCCCCACAGAGGCAAACCGTGGGATCCAAACAACCCAAGAAGCCCGTCAAGGCCTCCGCCCCTGGGCATGCGGATGCGCATGCAGATGCGCGCGCCAGTCTGCTGGTGGAGAGCGAGCCCGGACTTCCTCCCCAAATCTCCAAAGACCAGCCTTCCAAAGACAAGCCCAAGGTGAAGACGAAAGGGCGGCCCCGTGCCGCAGAGAGCCGTGAGCCCAAACCAGTGGCGCCCAACCCCAGCGAACGAAAGAAGCACAGGAGCGGCCCCCCAGCGGCCCCGAAGGCACCGCCGAAGGACGCGGCGGAGGACAGGAGCCCCGAGCACTTTGCCCTCGTCCCCCTGACCCAGAGCCAGGGCTCTGCCCGCAGCGGCGGCGCCAGGACTAGTGGCTGCCGACTGGCAGTGGTCGTCCAGGAGGACCGCCGCAAGGACAAACCCCTGGTGCCTTTGAGAGACACCAAGCTGCTCTCCCCGCTCAGGGACACTCCGCTCCCGCAGAGCTTGATGGTGAAGATTACCCTGGACCTCCTCTCTCGGATACCCCAGCCTCCTGGGAAGGGCAGCCGCCCCAAGAAACCGGAAGACAAACAGCCCTCAGCAGCGAAGAAGGCAGATTCTGAGAAGAGAAGCTCAGAAAACTCAAGCAAGTTGGCCAAAAAGAGAAAGGTGAGTGGGGGGCTGACCTTCCCCTACAGTGTGGAACATACCTGCTGCGGGCTTGGGGCTTTCTTTGGCCCTTGATTTTAACCCTGAATCGTCTTAGAAGAGGCTGGAAATCTTTGGATTCCATGTTGCCTTTGCGACTATACCAGAGTTAGTCTTTCACTGCACATAAGTGTTGATAAATGCCAGATTGCTTTAAGTCTTGCTAGTTTGAAAAAAAGATGAGGCAGTCATTGAAAAGGATATCTTGCTTTAGAATAATATAGCATTAAGGGTATGTTTTTATCTATTGTGATAATACTGGTATTTACCATCTGGCTCATTAGGTTTTGCCCTAGAAATTAATAAACTTTACATGAACTGAAATGTTAATTCTGAATTACTGACAGGAGTGCTATATACTAAATTTTACTCCTGTAGTTTGATCATTTTGATACTGATATTATATCCATGTTTTAACTCATGGCCACCTAACACCTCATTAATTTGAAACCACCAGATTTAGAATTTGTGACTCCTGTTAATGACTTTTACTAATGAGCAGAGCATTATGAAAAAAAGTTTTAGAGCTATTATAGAGATGGTTAGGGCATTTTTTTGGGTAATATAGGCTGTTATGGTACATTGTGAAGTATTGAAATCTGTCATTTTTCATAGTATTTGGAAGCTTCACTTAAGGAATGAACATAGTAAAATAATAATAATCCCTGCATTATTTAAGACCCTTGTTACTTGGACGTGCACTATTTTGAATAATCTCCTTTCGATCTTTATTCTGAATTATTGAGCTCTTGATATATATTTTTTTTTGCTGCTTCTTGATGGTGAAAGATTAGTGAGTTTTCCCCCCAGTGGCATTCCCAAGCCAACCTACCCAGGATTCAGAGTGAAAGGCACAAGAAGGGCCAACTCTTGCCTACTGAGAAGGAATATAAACACTCTTATAAATACATAAAAAACTCTTACTCAGTTGTGGAAGTTGAGCTAAGAATAACAAGGACAAAAAGATCATGAAGACTGCTGTCATGTCTGATTTGACTGATTACTCCACTAGGTTAAAAATATAATGTGACTTTACCAAATAGTAAAGGGTGACAGTTTCTCGAGCACCTTGTCGAATGAGACGTGAGGGTGTGTATTGCCACCATAATTGCAGCGGGCAAGTCCAGTGGGGTGGGATCAAGTGCCAGTTGGCAGTGCTGTTTCAGCTAGAAGAGGGTGTATTCTGGTTCCCGATAACTTTTAGTTTAGTGTTTTGTTTTTTTTTTTTGCGGTACGCGGGCTTCTCACTATGTGGCCTCTCCCATTGCGGAGCACAGGCTCCAGATGCGCAGGTTCAGTGGCCATGGCTCATGGGCCCAGCTGCTCCGCGGCATGTGGGATCTTCCCGGACCGGGGCACGAACCCGTGTCCCCTGCATCGGCAGGCGGACTCTCAACCACTGCGCCACCAGGGAAGCCCAGTTTTTTGTTTTTTTTTTTAATTTTATTTATTTTTGGCTGTATTGGGTCTTCATTGCTGCGTGTGGGTTTCCTCTAGTTGCACCGAGCGGGGTCTACTCGTTGTTGCGGTGCGCAGGCTTCTCATTGCGGTGGTTTCTCTTGTTGTGGAGCATGGGCTCTAAGTGCGCAGGCTTCAGTAGTTGTGGTGCATGGGCTTAGTTGCTCCGCGGCATGTGGCATCTTCCCGGACCAGGGATTGAACCCGTGTCTCCTGCATTGGCAGGCGGATTCTTAACCACTGCACCACCAGGGAAGTCCTTGATAACTTTTAAAATGATGTGTGCCTGTAAGAGGTGTAAAACTTTATGGAGAAAATTGTGATGGGCCAGGCTAGGAAAAGGTGCCTGCATCTAATATACCCGAGAAATCTTCAAAAATATCCTTTTTTTTCATGATGTGTTTTATTTTATTTTATTTTGTACATATGTATATATCACATCATCTTTTTTAAATTAATTTTTATTGGAGTTTAGTTGCTTTACAATGTTGTGTTAATTTCTACTGTACAGCAAAGTGAATCAGCTCTATGTATACAAATATCCCCTCTTTTTTGGATTTCCTTCCCATTTAGGTCACCACAGAGCACTGAGTAGAGTTCCCTGAGCTATACAGTAGGTTCTCATTAGTTACCTATTTTACACATAGAATCAATAGCAAAAATACACTCTTTTACCTCCTCCTGGGAAATCTTTTGTCACCTGTCCCCCAGCTACCCTAATACTATCTAGTCTCCACTGCTGACCTGCATCAGCTGGAGTGGGGAGAGGGGAGAAGTATTAGCTTCTAAAACGCTTACTAACCAGGGGTAAATGTTGGAAATTGGAGGCTCCCCAGACAGTTGTCAGACCAGTCCATCCTCCAGTGCAAATCTAGAAGCTCTGCTTGCAGCTCCAGAAAGGGAAATTCAGCTGTCCCTGTTGAGTATATGAACTGTGCCCTCTGAAAGCCATTTTTCCAGCCCTTGGCTGAGCTCTCCTAGGGCAGCTTATTTATCTTTCTGTTCAAAGGATGGAGAAATAATGACTGCCTCATCTTAGGCAAGTCCATGCTTGCCTTAAAGCTCTGGCAGGCAGCTGAGAGATCTGGCTCTGGGAACAGCCTGCCTCCCTGCTGTGGGACTAACAGGATCAGGGACTGAACCAGTGGTTCCAAACCCTGGCTGCACATTCCGGTCCCCTGGGGAACCCTCAGTACTGGTGGCAGGATGTGTGCCACCCCCCAGCCCCACACTCCTATTGTTATTTTCTAACTCCTCGGGTGATCCTAATGCCTAAGGCTCTGGAGCAGAACCTTATTACCAGGCCAGGATTGTATAAAGCTAGTCTTTTGGACCAAGAAATCTCTCCAGTGTGGTGCATTTAGACATCATGGATCTGGACAACCAGGAATTCCTGGCCTGAAGTATGTCACTGGTTAGAAACATTACTTAGGAGCTTTCAGATAAATATAAACATCAGCCAGCAGTATAGATATTTCATGATCAGAGAACTGTGTGTCATTGGTTTTGCTTCCTGCTGGATTCCAGGTGGTGGTATTAATACTGAACATCATAACCTCAGGTTCTCTCTGTGAGGGGCAGGCTCCCCCTTTCCTGTCAGGACCCTGACTCTACTTGTTCAGGGTACCTTTGGCCACCACCCTTGGACGAGCGGGACAGCTCTGTGGGCAGCCCAGGTCTCTCTTTAAGCTTAGGTGCTTTTCCCCAAATTTGGATAGTGAAGACTTGTTCATTTTCTTCATATTGAGTGTGAACACTAGAAAAAACTCCATGAGAATGTAGTGAGGGCCATTGAATAATGTTCCTGCTCCTTTGCATTAGTGGGATTTATTTAAAGGTTCATCCCTCTCTTGGCACAAAATTTAACAAATATTTTCAGAGGGTTAACAAACCCTTAAAGCCATTTTAGACTCAAAAGTGTGAGAAAATGATCATAAAGAGTTAGAGAACAACGGGGACGTGGGGAGGGGGAAGGGTAAGCTGGGACGAAGTGACAGAGTGGCATGGACATATATACACTACCAAATGCAAAATAGATAGCTAGTGGGAAGCAGCCGTATAGCACAGGGAGATCAGCTCGGTGCTTTGTGACCACCTAGAGGGGTGGGATAGGGAGGGTGGGAGGGAGATGCAAGAGGGAGGAGATATGGGGATATGTGTATATGTATAGCTGATTCACTTTGTTATAAAGCAGAAACAAACACACCATTGTAAAGCAATTATACTCCAATAAAGATGTTTAAAAAAAAAGGATTCCATTATGAAGATTAAATATTCCCCCCAAATCTCTCCTTATATATTAAAAAACATATTTTTTAAGCCTGAAAAAAAAAAGTTAATAGTTGTTAATAGCTGTGATGAAGCCATCAAATGTGGCACCTATAGAAATGTAGCTATATTTTTATTTTTCCCCTTTTTCTTTTTTTTCTTCTACTTTAAAGGAGTGGGTTGGGGACAATTCATGAGAAAATTGTGAGGGTAAATAGACATTAACTCACATGGTACTCCTTACATAAACTACAGAATTTCTTCAACCTGATTACAGTTTAGAATTTAAAGTAGAACTTATATTTTCTTTTATATAATTTTTAAGCTTTATGTTTTCCAGACTTGGAAGAAAAGTTGAAGCTGAGAAGCACAAGATAATATACAATCAGGGCAGTGCAAATGAGAAGATTCTAAAAGCACACCAAACATGCGTAGAGCTAAGCATTGCTCTCAGTGCTTTCTTAGATAACCTCATTTCATTCAGTCACCTTATAGATGTCTTTCAAATAAAATGCTAGACTCTCTCAACAGTCGTTTAGACAAATAACAGAACTGGGAGGTTACATTCATTCAGGTCTTTCCCTTTTTATAAATAACTGCTTTACGGATGAAGAAGCTTGGACACTTTTGGAAAAACATTTCAGTGCCATCGTTTATGTGTGTTTTGAGGAGTGGGGAGGGAAGTTATGGGATCTGGTGGGAAAATGTGCATTTTTATTGCTTGATGGTTAGTTCAGACCTTCCCAGGATCTGACTGTTTTCTCTTGGGTTGTTTCTCCAGATCAACATTCCCAGTTATTATCCTTCAAAATCAAGGGTTTGAAAAGTCATCCCTATAATTTCCTAAAGCCACTTACATCTAATTTCTTCATGCCTGTTAGTTACCCTAAAAGTATCATATGAAGAGCTGTTTTAGGGCCAGTCTAATGCCTGTGTATTCCCTCACCAAAAAGAAGGAAAAGAGTGGATTCCCTTTGCTTTTTTGTGGTACTTTCCCCAGTGAATATAACCTGCCTCATTCATGGGGTCAGCTTGGACTTACCTGCTGTGGCGTCGTCTTATTGAACCTCCTGCAGAGGCAAATCCCAGAAAAGTATCTGAACTTCCCCAAAGGCTGCTTCTCCACTTTTGCTATGCTCCATGTGCTACCAAGCGTATTTGCTTCCCTGTGGGAGAGGAGGATAGAATTTAGAATTGGAGTGCTGAGACCGCATGTGTCTCTTGTTCAGCTGCTACCTTCTTTAGATGGGATCCAGAAAGGCCTTCATATCACTTGGCTGCTTAGCAAAAGCAGGTCTGGAGCTCAGTATGCTGACCCCTCCCAGTCTAGTGGATCTTGGCTCCTTTGCTCTCTTTCACATCTTTTTTTTTTTTAATATTTATTATTTATGTATTTATTTATTTTTGGCTGCATTGTGTCTTAGTTGTGGCACGCGGGATCTTCGTTGAGGAATGCAGGATCTGTCATTGTGGTGTGCGGGCTTCTCTCTAGTTGTGGCGTGCGGGTTTTCTCTTCTCTAGTTGTGGTGCACAAGCTCCAGGGCGCGTGGGCTCTGTTGTTTGCGGCACGAAGTTTCTCTCCTTGAGATCCACGAGCTCAGTAGTTGTGGCGTGCGGGCTTAGTTGCCCTGCAGCATGTGGAATCTTTGTTCCCTGACCAGGGATTGAACCCACATCCCCTGCATTGGAAGGCAGATTCTTTACCACTCGACCACCAGGGAAGTCCCTCTTTCACACCTTTCTTGCTTTTAGTGGGGTGGGGCCGGAGGAGCAGGGTGTGTGTGCAAGTGCCTGTTAGGGGATGGGTGCAGGTTGGGGGGCGTTGGTGGCATTCTTGGAGCAAGGCCTGAGGTTGTACTTCCAGATCAGTGTACTGACGGGCTGTTACAATACCATCCCTGGCTCAACCCCTCCATTGTCCCCACTCCTGCCAGCCTAGTGCCCGCCACACTTTAGTTTCCCTTCCAGATGCTCGTCATCTCTCCCCATCATGGCTAAGCTCTGAGTCGACTATCTTTCTGTCTGTTAGAAACTATGGCCCCAAACGAGTGTTAGTTCTAAAAAAGCCACTTTCACTGCCCCCTGTTATCCGCGGCACCTAGTTGGTGAGTCAGGTGCTGGGGCAGGCAGCAGGCTGCCCTGGAGGCCTTCTCTTCAGAAACCGGCTTGGCCTAGCACAGTCCCAGATCTTCCTTTTATGGTGTTCATTCTTGCCCTTTTGCTCCACTCTGTAGGTGGAGCAGCATTTGGCAGATAATAAGAGGCTGCCTGACCCAACAGGTTAAGAAAAGTAAACAAGTCAGTCAGGAACCGTCATCGGCCAGCAGGCTCCTCCTGTTGGAGATGCGGGCACTGTCGAGACATTGTCCTTCTGGAAAAAGGGAGTGTCCAAGACCCAGACCTTAGACAGGGGTCCCTGAAATGGGAGTTGATCTGTGGATAAGCCACTGAGCAAAGGAGACTCCTTTTTCCTTCTGAAGAGGGTACGTCACTCTCACCTCACTTTCAAATGGCTTCTTGACCCAGAAACATCTCAAGAACTCCTTGCCTTCTGTTTTCCAGTCTTGGAATTCAAGTCTGTGTTTCCTGCCACCCAGGATCAGATGACTCCCTCTCTAATGGCGCTTTGCTAAATCCATCCACTTAGGGTTGCAGTGCAGGTTTGCTCCTGGGCCAGCTGACGAATGCTCATGGAGTGCCTGCTCTGGGGATGCCCCCGGGACTCTTCCTACAGAAGACAAGAGGGTTCCAACTACAAAAATACTGACCCCAGCCCACAGGCGTGAATTCAGGTCAAAGCAAGCACAGTCAGCAGAAGGGGATTTTGCTTAATTGGTTTAACGGCTTACATTCTACCAGCTGACAGAATATTACCAGCTTCTAAGTTGCTACATGTCAACATAAAGTGTATTATTCCAGAAAGTGCCAACATAGTTGTTAAAGCTAGCATTGAAGTTAGTCTTTGGTGATTGTTGGTTTTGGGCTGTTCTCTTGAGTCACTGATTGGCACAAGCCCGAGTTAAAACCAGTTTGTGAGGATTGACTCACTATGAATCTTATTTTCATGTGTGGTTTGTAAGGCCTGCCACTTTGGTTTCTAGTTATAACTAGCATGTCCTAAGCAGCATGAAGATATACAAACAAAAATTAACTCTCATTCCACCTCTGGGGTTTGGTGTTTTCTTTAGAAAGTAACCTTGTGGACCGTTTATGCTTAGCTTTGTCTTGGGGACTTATCCCACATGTCGTTAACTGCCTGGAAATGCCTTCCATTTAAAAAAGTATGTATTACTAACTACTTTGTGTGCAAGTTAATTATCTGCCTGGGTATTTTAGCAAATTCTGTGACTTTTCCGAAAGATAAATTTCCCACCCTCTTGTAATGCTTGCTGGGCCAGCTGTGTGGCCTTTAATCTAAAACTCAAGAGAATTCACTGGGCCCATTGGTAGCAGAGCCTCTTGGCCACAGTGGGTGTAGTGATGAGGGGATACCCCTTAGTAGTAGGGTTCTATTTTAACCAGTCACTTCTGGTTTATTCTTTCTTCTCTGCCAACATTGAGTTCATTATGAATTGTTGAATGGAGGGTGAGTTACATGCTGGGCAGAGCTTCAACAGGCCTCTCCTGGCCTGTGCCAGGACCTTTCATCTGTCCTGAACTGTGCTCCAGGCTTGTGCTGCCGGCGTGCACTGCCTGCCACGTGAGAAACAGCCGTGTGAAATATTACTGTTTCAGCCGTGCCTGTGGGATGTGCTTATTCACATCATGTGTTCTCTCCTTATTAAGTCCCTCAAGGACCTTTTTCCCCGGTCTTCTGTAATGAATGGTTATGTTTCTGAGCAACTGATTTGTTCTTATCTTACCTAACCTGTACATTTAATAATTCTTTCTTTGCATCGGCTTATTGGAAGTTCAAGGTCCATTTTGCAGATCACCTCTAGAAAAGTGTGTAAAACAGTTCTGTCCAGTAGAAATATAATGTGACCCACATACATAACTTAAATTTTTCTAGTAACCACGTTAAGAATATAAAAAGGAAAAAAAAACAGTGATAAATAATTTAATCCAATGTGTCTAAAATTACCACTTCAGTATTTCATCAGTAGAAAAATGATTACATTCTCCTTTTCTGGACAAAGTCCCTGACTTCACTTGTTGCTGTGGACTAGCCGTGTCCAAGTGCTGTGCAGCTCTGGGATGGAGTGTGCGGGACAGAGCGGAATCGGCTTCCAGTGGTACCATAGTACCAGCCTTCCCTTGGATTTCTTATCTCCACCCATATTTTCCCTTCTGCTTAATGTTCTCACCTGTGCAAACACCGAGAGAATGAAAGCCAAGTATCCTTATTAGCCATCTTCAGTGGTCCATTTTGAAACAAGAGGGAGATGTTTTCTGCGAACTTATGGAAGGCTGGATGGAGGCGCACACCCAGGCACGCTTGCTTGCAGAATGCCGGGGGAGGGAAGGGCATGTCTTTGCTATTTCCCTCCTTTTGAGCGGGGCCAGGCCGCTGATTAGCGCCTGGGCAGAGCTTGAGCCTACACATCTTAATTTATTCATTTTTCTTGGAGAAATTCAGAGAACGAGGGAGAGACTGTGGTGAAAACCGGGGCCTCCCACAATGAGATCATTTGAAGAATGTTGTTTTTCCCTTTAAGGCTCTAAGAGAGGATTTCAGGTTTTTTAGGGATTGTCCTAGATTGGCTGGTGGTGTCCCAGATTTCTCTCCCCGTGAGCTGACAGTTGAGGAGTTTAATTCTAAAGCACCTGAGTCGATTCAAGGACTGCCACCCATCGCTTCACTGTCCTTGCTAGAAAGCTTCCTTCCCACAGGGCCATTACATGAGCACAGACCAGGGGGAAGGAACCTGCATTTTGGACCTTCTGTAAATTTGATATACATGTTGTCATGGGAAAATGCATCTGTTTGCTTCCTGGGTAGAGAAAAACCTGGTTCTTTCCTTAGTCCTTCCTCATGTACAAATCCGTCTCAGTACAAATCACATCAAATCTAGATGGTCTGCTGCCCTCACCACCACCCCGCCTCCCATACACAGTGTAGATACTCATAAGGTTTCTGTGTGTGTTTAGAAGTTTCCAAAAGTTTGATTGCTCTCATTGACCTTGCTGCATATTTTTTTCTATTTTGTCTGTACAATTATGTTTGTAATAATTTGCTGTTATACTACAATAATAGGGTGAAGCAGAAAGAGACCACGATAGCAAGAAAATCAGGCTGGAGAAAGAAGTCAAATCGCAGTCATCACCCTCATCCTCCCACAAAGAATCTTCTAAATCAAAGTGAGTATAGAGATTAGGAACAGGCTGCGAAGGTGATCGAATCTTCCTGGATGGCAACACGGCAAAACACTTTTCTTCTGCAGTAGAACGAGAGAATAGTGAACTCGTCAGGCTCATTTTGACGATATGCTAAGTTCTGTTTTCCTTCACGAGGACCTTAGAGGAATTAACGGTTCATTTGGCAGCAAACTTAGATTTATCAAAAGCACAAAAAGACTTGGCAAAAACAAGTGAGTCGTATCACCATGTAGGAACCAACAGAGATTTGAAAGAGAGAGAGAGAAGGGGTCAGATGTGAAGGGGGCAGAGAGGAGGTGGCAGCTGGGCCTGCCTGCTTGTCAGAGACAAGGTGCAGTTTGGGCAGTAGCTACTGCAGAGTGACTTGCTTGGGTAAAGGTAAGACCATTGGCAGACTCTGCAAGCTTAGTGACAAATTATACAACTTCATTTGTTACTCACAGGTAGGACTGTAGTTTTCAAAGGCATCAAAAAAAAAGGGCTCTGAAATTTGGCCTTTCTACAAAAATGGATTTCATGGCTCTGTGATATCTTTATCTTTTGTGTCAACAGCCATTTTGTCCTATAACTCAACAACTAAGTTATACGGTTCATGTTTTGCCTTAACTTAGTTTTGCATGATGTTTCATTCCAGAACGCCCAGGCCGTTCTCTGAGCCCTCAAAGAGGGAAATGCTTCCCCCTTCACTTGTGTCATCCTCGTCCTCCCAGAAGCCAGCCAAGCCTGCACAAAAGAGGTCAAGACAGGAAGCAGACCCCAGTGGCCAGGACCCTCCCAAAAGTGCCAGTAGTACCAAGAGCAACCACAGAGACTCTTCTGTTTCCAAGCACAGAAAAGTAGAGGGGAAGGGCTCTGGAAGCTCTACAGAACACAAAGTAAGGAGGGGAGGCAGTAATGTATAAAAGGGAATATGTTGGTGTGTCTTTAATTTAAATGCCCAAATAAGATAAGTTTTCTATGATGGTATTTCAGAGCTATTCGTCACTTTTAATAAAGCAGTAATGAGTTATTTGTGCTTAATGCTCTACTTTTCAGAGGGAGAGTAAGAGATAGTTCATATTACCTGATAATTTAGGTGGCAGTTTATTCTTCTTAAAGTGGTTCAGAGGTGAAAAACCAGAATAGATTTTTGTGTTAATTTTCTATCGGGTGTTTTGCAGTAAAACATGATAACCCTGGTTAGTTCTTGGTTTGGATGTTTGATCTCAAATACTTTCATTATTAGTGATAATGGGGGAACAAGTATCCACTTTCTTGAATACAGATTCCTTCCTTCCTGTTAACCTGGGGTAGGTGAGTGTGTGTGTGTGTATGTATTGCTTAAGAGAAAATGTTAAATTTGGCTTTGTTGATAATCTGTTCTCTTGGGCATTCTTGTCTTAATGGCTTTTCTGTGTCCCCGATACAACCCAAATCTACAGTTTCAGTTGAACCTAGCTGAGAAAATGCTTGACCAAGCTAGAGCGTGCAGCATTTGAGTTCCTTGCTTTTGAACTATTTGGGGCTAATTTAGAGAGACGGTACAGTTAGGCCAATGGTCTGAAATGTTACAGGGTGATCGGTATGATGATCTTTTTTAAGGGATCTTCTGGAGATACTGCAAATCGTTTTCCAGTGCCTTCTTTGCCAAATGGTAACTCCAAGCCAGGGAAGCCTCACATGAAGTTGGACAAGTAAGACTGGATGCTGCTGCTTCCCCTCCCCCTCCCCCTCCCCCCGCCTCCTCTTTGCCCTGCCTCTCCTCCCATCCTCATCCCCCTCCAGTCGTCTTAAGTCATCTTGCCCCAGTCCAGTACTTTTAGGTTCCTGTGACCCACCCCTGGTCTTTTCTTCTCTTTCAGACAACAAGCAGATTTTCACATGAAGGAGGCCAGAAGGTTGAAGGACAAAGCAGAATTAGTGGTCAGTCTGGGCTCTTTCTCCCTTTGGTGGAATGTTTTCCGTTCAAACACTTGCCGTCTAGTTCCAAATCACTAACTGTGGCTTGGGGGCGGGGTGGGGGGGGTAGGGCTGGGGGGACCTGACATTGGCCGCAGTGTAAGCAGGGTCAGCAGGGTCGGAATGAGCGAGGGCTGAGCAGTTCCTAGGGAAGCGACACTGTTGTGACTTCACTGATTCCGTCTGATCGTGGGCAGAGAGGCAAAGTACTAGTTTCACGTTTTATATCTAAATGAATGAAAGTTGATCTACCTGGTAGTGTTTTATTTAATATACATGAGGGCTTCCTTGTCCCACTGAATCAGTTCTTTGGATGTGAAAAACAACTCTGGTTTATTGAAAGCTGATCAATTTGTGGTCACCCCAAAACATTTCAAAAAGTGAGGTAGTCTGTTTGCATTCCAAAATTATCTTAACGCCCTGTTCACTGTTAGAGGCTAACAGTGAACAGTGGACCAGTAGTACCTTCAGATGAAATTTTAAGGTGAAGATGATGATTGCACTGTTGGCAAGCATGCCTTAAAGAAACGAACTCCCTTTACCTGGTGGCCGTTGGACTTTCTGGAAGGTGGTAGTTTTGTTAATTGCATACATAAATGATGCTTTTATTTCTCTGCTGCAGTATAGTTATGTAATGCTTGCCCTTTGTCATATTTAAGCATCTAAGACTCTGGGGCCTTTATTTGCTTGGTGTATAACCCACACCTAAACCCCTGCAGATACCGTATGTTGAACTTTGTACCGCAAGAGAACGGCATAGTTTGCCTTGATTCTGCCACAGGCACACCTAACCACAAACTCTGGAGGTCCACAGGGATTGAATCAGATCAGTCCATGGTGGCCTCAAAATCCTAGCCCAGTGTTCTTCAACCCCAGTCTGTAGCCTGGCATCTCTTGTCAGGCTGGGAAGGGCTGGGCTGAGACCCTTTTATCAGGTCCCCATTCATTGGAGTAAAATGTTGATTGAGTCCTTACCATGCTGGATGCTGTAGGAGAGTCAAAGACAAATTAGACACTATCTCTCAAGTGACCCTGTACCAGCATGACCTGAGTCAGATTAAGATGCCTCAGGAAGCACCAAACAGTGGTATCTTTCTAACCTCTTCCTTTCAGTTCTCCAAGGCTGTTACTAGAACTGTATGAATCTTTTGATTTTTGAGAAAGAGTAAATATTCAGTACTTTGTCAGCCAGTTATCAAAAACTTATCTTGACACTGGGCACTAGATTCCTTCATTATTCAAGCAAGATTAATACTCCAGGGAACTTCTTGTGTTGCTTTTAATCTATGCATATGCACATCTTCTTTCTCCCTTTCTATGGCTATTGTACCCCATCTTAATAAGTAATGTTAGCTCATTCCACTCTCAAAATCTGCCAATTTGGACAGAAACCTGAATGGCCAGCCTCTTCACAATATTCTCCTTTACTTGCACAATGTCTCAAAGATGACCATCTTGCATTCCAGATAGTGAAGTGCACAACTGAATATAGAGCAGTGTATTTCACCTCTATTCTTATTTTACTTACTGTTAAGGAAATTAGAACTCTACTAGCTTAACCCTGTCTCAGGAGATACATAGAGTCATCACAGGAATATTTTCATTATTAACTTTACAAAATACTTAAGGAAGTGGATACTGGCAAATTGCTTTAGTATAGTTCCTTTTGTTTCTACACTAAGGCCAATATAAATTTTGGAAATCCCATGAAGAAGATGGTATTGAATGAGTAAACTTGAAGAGTTAAATTCACACCAGTGAAGCAAACCAATAAGGCCCGATACTGTTGATTATTTGGGACATGCTGATTTGATTTTTATTCCTTCTGTCACTAATTTTCTGAGCCTGGGTTCTCTAGAAAATTTTTTTTTTTTTTGCAGTACGCGGGCCTCTCACTGTTGTGGCCTCTCCCGTTGTGGAGCACAGGCTCCGGACGCGCAGGCTCAGTGGCCATATGGCCCACGGGCCCAGCCGCTCCGTGGCATGTGGGATCTTCCCAGACCAGGGCACGAACCCGTGTCCCCCGCATCGGCAGGCCACCAGGGAAGCCCCTAGAAAAAATATTTTTAAAGCAAGTTTTTTTTTATTTTGGCCATGCCGCATGGTGTATGGGATCTTAGTTCCCCGACCAGGGATCAAACCCATGCCCCCTGCATTGGGAGCACGGAGTCTTAACTGCTGGACTGCCAGGGAAGTCCCTCAAGTTATTTTAAAAATTAAAATTAGTAGCCATCTTTCTTTGCCAAACCTTCCTTCTTTGCTGATGTGTCACCATCTCCTTACACTCCACTTGCACCTTTATGGTTTTCATTCATTCTTTTTGAACATATCAAAGTAGAGACATTAGCAGAAACTACAACCTTGCAAATGTCGTGTTGATCAGTTGTTCTTACAATGTGTGCTGCGTATGACGTCTCATATGTAGTGAGACTCGGCACAGTCTCAGTCAAGTTGGCTGAATTCCACCAAGTGAGAAGAGCGTAGGTGACAAAATATGTATTCGGGGTTCGATGACCACCAATATCATATTTCTACATTCCTGTTAAGGGACTCTGAAATTTTATCCCTGTTGGCCCAGGGGATAGCCTTGTGCCCTTAACCCAGACTCCCAGAGGAGATGATCTGTTGGGCTGTAAAATACATAAAGAGATTATTGTTCGACATGAAATCTAAGATGCTTGTAAACCATAACATTTTTTACTTATTATAAGATAAACTTCAATTCGTACAAAGAAACTGTGTCTGCATTATACTAGTTGTGTAGAATAACCTATTTGCCAGGAAAATCATATGATGGGTAATTGCACACTAGTAACAAGGGAACCATGTACTGAGTGCCTTAGTTTGAATATGTACTTTAATAAGGTTTTGAGAGTATAGTCTTATTACAAGATTGTTGTCTCTTTCCTACTGAATTTTTAGTAAAAGAAAATTCTCAGTAGGTCAGAGCTGACGGGCTTTGGTTATTATATTGAGTTTGTTTGTTCTCACACTTCTCTCTAGCCATAGTTAAATTAAGACAGTGGAGGGAAGTTTCTGTAAAGAATGTGTGTGAGAAACTAAGTAAAAGTCCGTGTTAGGCTTAACAGTGACCCTGTTCTTCGCCCACAGACGGACAAGGTTGGGAAGGCTTTTAAGTACCTGGAAGCTGCCTTGTCCTTTATTGAGTGTGGCATTGCCATGGAATTGGAAAGCCCAGCGTCCAAGTCTGCTTGCTCCATCTATGCAGAAACCCTAGACCTCATCAAGTAAGTGCAGACTCATTTTGCCTTCCTTTTAAGTACTTCTCTGTCCTTACCTTTATTGCTTTAATCCATTTGAACTTTGGTCTGAAGACAGCTTAACAAAGGGGAGTCTTTAAAAAAGTTACTGATCCAGAAACTTTTTTTTTTTTTTTTTTGGTCATGAACTAAAAATGTATTCCAGATGAAGTGCTAGAGCAGAACAATTGGGTTGGTCTGGATCATTTTGCCAAGTGCACGGTGAAATGCCAAACCCTTCAGGGAGAGGGTTGGTTTTTCCAGTTTTACTTTCTTATCAGATGCCCTCTCATCTCAGCTGAAGCTCTCGTCTTTGTTTATTACCTGCATTTCAGGAGAGGACTCAGTAAGGATACAAGTCTACTTGGTTTTAAGCAGGTGGACAGGTCAGAGAAAAGGCATGTCCTCGCCTAATTTTCTGAATGGCCTGAATTGTTCTCCAAAGCCTCATTTTTCTTCTGCGTTGCTGTCATGTCTTCACATCTTCAGGAAAAATCAATATTAAACCAAGACAAACATAATAAGATATCTTTGTGTCTGGGATTTTCTGACTGCCTTTTTTTAACCTGATGTACATTTTAATTTTCCTATAGATTCATAATGTCATTAAAATCCTTCTCGGATGCCACAACACCAACACAGGAGAAAATATTTGCTGTTTTATGGTGTGTATTTTTTTCTTTGTCTAAATAGCAAATTACATCTGCTTTTGCATGTCTGTTTTCTTAATGTGAAAATGATCATGAAAAGCGAATCACTACCAGAAAGTAGTAGGATGTGTGGTCAAGGGATTAATCCCACTGATGGTTAATTATTATGAAATGGCATCTACTGCCATTTTACAACCCCATCATTTTACTGATGACTTTGGTCTTGTGACTTAAATTATATCCTTGTATATTTGTGTTGTTTCACCAGTATTTACTTCTGACGTTAATGTGAACAGTGCAGTGAGATTCTCGATATACTTTCTCGTGTCGATGAGGAAAACCCAGTATGTTCATTAGGGTGAACATTAGGGAAAAGGTTAGGTGGCTTGCTCTCTGTAGTGTGATACTCATGAATCGGAGCTAATGCTTCACTTCAGCTTATGTTTATGTTCACAGCATGCGTTGCCAGTCCATTTTGAACATGGCTATGTTTCGTTGTAAAAAAGATATAGCAATAAAGTATTCCCGTACTCTTAACGAACACTTCTTCAAGACTTCTTCCAAAGTTGCCCAGGCACCTTCTCCATGCATTGCAAGGTAATGATCAGTCTAATTTAAATAGCTTCCAAATTTAAGTTCTTTCTTTTTTTACCTCTTGCTGTGACTTTGTTTCAAAAATTGTTTACATCCATTTGCTGATTTGCTCATTCAACTGAAATCATTAGTACATTTCTACCTTTTTGAAGAATAGTTAGAAATCAGGGTGTTTGCTGGTTGGGCAACATAAATTAAAAAGATAACTACAGAGAATCTAGGGTCCAGATTTTAGAGCTTTGAGGATATTTGGGTATGCTTAACAATGTAAAACAGGCGGAGCCAGCGGAACCGGAGCCAAGGTCCTTTCTCCTTCTATGCAGCACGCTGTCTTAGCATTTCAGTAAACAAGAACTTTCCAGAACCAATTCCCTCCTACCTTCTCCAGGGTCTGTAACAGTGATATTAAGAATCAAAACAGCTATCTCTAGCTAAATTTTCCCCCCACTTTTTGCTCATTTGTTCCGTAAACTGTCAAAAAACAGAGTCCTTGTGCGCGTGTTTTTAAGATGAAGATAGAATTTTCTTCCCTTTGGTACTTGCCTAGTATTTTTTTTTTTTAATTTAGTCGTATTCCTTGAAAAGTTCCCGGTTCTGACGGGTTTTGCTATTTTAAGAACGTCACCTAGAAGATTGCCCCATTTCCAGCACATTCAAAAGAAGAGATTCCCATATGGCCTCTCTTAAAAAAAGAAAGTCTTGATTGAGAAGCACTTCTTTACCTCTGAAAATTTTCATGACTCCTACCTCTGAGATATTATTCTAAGTTAATAGGTTGTCAGTCACGTGATTTTAGATCACTCCTTCACCATTTGTCTAGCACCTTCCTTGTACCAAACCTTGTTTTAGGCGCAGGGAAGCAGCAGTAAACAAAGCAGACAGGAATTGCTGCCCTTGGGGAGCTTCTGCTCTAGTTCTTCAAAATGAACTTTCTGCTGGGGATGCTTAGGATCCGTTAGAGTTCATGAAGCCCAAGGGCAGATGTAACTATGTGATGAGGCCACTGCTGCTGACCCATCTTTCCATTTCATATCCATCAGTTCTTTAACGTCTGAGTGGCTTCACTTGTGTTTCTCGTTTGATCCGCATCAAGGCACTTGTGAACTTGCAGGTGCAGGTGGACAGTCAGTAGGAGAACACAGAGCACAGTGTGAGCCCCCTGATGCCCAGTCTCCTCGTGGGCTGCCCTCTGTTCAGTCAGTTATGGGCTCAGCAGGTGTTTATCCAGAGCACCTCCTGTGCTAAGGGCTAGAAATGCAGAGATTAGGAAGAGATGGTTCCTGCTTGCGAGGTGCTTGTGAGGCAGGAAAAGGAATAGACAGAAAAGTATAATGAGGTGTGATAAATGCAAAGAGACGAGTTCAAGTGGTGACAGAAAGGAAGCTGCTGTCTGTATACCCAGTGTCTGGAGGAGAGCTACGTGCAGAGTAGGAGCTCAGTGATGTGTATTGAGTGGATGAGAGAATGAATATATCGGAGATGAGGACCATTTCTCAGGGGAAGTATTGTCTTCCTAGGAGAAGTTGGAATAGGGGTTGGGGAGAGAAGGGATTCCAGGCAAGGGAGTAAAATATGTAAAGGGCCTGGGAAATACACTTGGAATACAGATTTGCCCACCTGATTCTATGTCCAGTGAAGAACACCTTACGTCTCTCCAGTTACTTTTTCCATTTGGAGGGCCCCATCCCACTGTGTTTTATGAAATAAATTTCCGGAATACTGAAGGTGAAGGGTGCAGTGCCTCTCTGACCTTGTAGAAGTGATTTTAGAAGTGATTGTCATTTTGGCAAGTGCACGCTAAAGCCTTGTGACTTGGACTGCAGTTCCAGAAACAGGAGATCCTGTGATCTGGGAGTTCAGGTGACTAACCAGTTCTCTTTTTCCACCTTCCAGAAGCACAGGCACACCATCCCCCCTCTCTCCAATGCCTTCTCCAGCCAGCTCCATAGGATCCCAGTCAAGTGCTGGCAGTGTGGGGAGCGGGGGGATGCCCGCCACCATCAGCACCCCAGTCACCATCCAAAACATGACATCTTCCTATGTCACCATTACTTCCCATGTCCTTACCGCCTTTGATCTTTGGGAACAGGCTGAGGTCCTTACCAGGAAGAACAAAGGTAAATGGTTCTGTCGTGGTTATTACTGGGCCATGGGGATTGGGAGGGGAATAACATTGTATTTTCTGTTCAGTGTTTTGGCCTTTTTTTTTTTTCTTTTTTAAAATTATAGTTGATTTACAATGTTGTGTTAATTTCTGCTGTACAGCAAAGTGATTCAGTTACACACATAAATACATTCTTTTTCATATTCTTTTCCATTATGGTTTATCACAGGATATTGAATATAGTTCCCTGTGCTATACAGTAGGAACTATATTGTTGTGTATCCATTCTATATGTAATATCCTGTTGTGTATCCATTCTATATGTAATAGTTTGCATCAACTAACCCCAAACTCCCAGTCCATCCCTCTCCCGCCTCCCCTACCCCTTGGCAACCACAAGTCTGTTTTGGTTTGTAGATAGAGGTTCATTTGTTCCACATTTTAGATTCCACATATAAGTGATATCATATAGTGTTTGTCTTTCTCTGTCTGACCTTACTTCACTTAGTATGATAATTTCTAAGTCCATCCATGTTGCTGCAAATGGCATTATTTCATTCTTTTTCATGGCTGAATAGTATTCCATTGTATATATGTTCCACATCTTTATCCATTCACCTGTCAATGGACATTTAGGTTGTTTCCATGTCATGGCTGTTGTGAATAGTGCTGCTGTGAACATAGGGGTACATGTATCTTTTTGAGTTAAAGTTTTGTCCAGATACGTGCCCAGGAGTGGGATTGCTGGATCATATGGTAGTTCTATTTTTAGCTTTCTGAGGAACCTCCATACTGTTTTCCATAGGGGCTGCACCAACTCACATTCCCACAATCTGTTCAGTGTTTTGAAGGAAAGGAAGTGTGCAGCTGTTTACTCTTCTCACATTTTCTCCATGCTGTCACAGTTCTTTCTTGAGCTCTGTGGCATGGAGATAGATTTCTGGGACTAGATCTTAGCAAAATTAAATCAGAAGTGGCTTTAGCACGTTGCCCCTTTGGAAGTTTTGGTATCGTTATTTCACCCTGAACTGAAGTGCTAGCAAAAGGGCTAAGCAAATGCAGATGGAAAGTCATTGGCTGTCCCCAGGCACAACACATTTGAGATGGGAAGTAGCATAACCTAAAATACTGCATTTATTCTTCAACCCAGAAATGTAAAATGGATGGAGCACCTGACGGCTGAGGAAGAAAAAAGCAGCTGAAACTATGAATACATATTTGTTTCATAATCACTAACTTTAAGCCAGTAGTTCTCTAATTTATGGGTCTTCAGAAAGATGTACTGTACAATGCTCAATTGTTATGTCATTCAAAGACATCAGGTTCATCTGTTTACCAAGCTAGAAATATAGTATGTAGTTTCACTTTTTTAAATGCAACAGCTGTGTGGAAATTTTTTTATCATTAACACTTGAAGTAATAAAATAGTCTTCATTTATTAATAAATGTTTCATTTGATTTATTTTTATATTATAGTTCCATTTGTGAGGCTTGTGACTTTTGTTTATCAGCTATAATTTCTACACTTGTAAGGCTTAAAAGGAAGCCAACAAGTTAAAAAAAAAAGAAAATTGCAAATAACGTTTGTCCCTTTAGTCTTCCCTTAGTTGTGTCATTGTTTTAATTCATTTTGCCTTTGCAGAAGTTTGGGTATCTTTGAAGTACTGTTGAGTCTCATCTGGGAAGATTATGTAAATTGCATTCTCCTTGCTTATTATATGGGTAGAATGGGAAAAAAAGGAAGACAAATTCTCATTAAATTCTGTGCATATTTCTGTTATGCTTTCTGTTTCTGTAGTTGGTTCTGAGGTGAATATGCCCTATTCTGTTTGGAAGAATGGCCTTTTAGTTATATAGCCAAAGACATTGAGTATTTTCTGGTTTCTTAAGGTGTTATTGTACCATTTTGTAAAAGGAATATTATTATTATTAAAATTGTTTGGTAAATATTTTTGACAAATTATCTTCTGAAGCAGCCACAACTTAGAAAGATAATGTCAAAACTAAGGTGATTTAAAAAAAAAAAAAAAGACCCAGCCAAAATAAGGTGTGAATTTGTCATACTGTTAAATTGAAATTGGTAACAAAATGTATCCCCTTCCAGTTTACTTTTTTGGGTTTTAGAGTAATTGAAAATTTTATTTTATTTTATTTAAAATAATTTCCAAGTTTGAGCAGCAAGACTGACTGTAGTTTCAGTTTTTATTTTCTGTGGACAGACTTGATAAACTGGAGACCCTGAAGCAGGATTACCCAAATTGTAGTGTCAGGATTTTAGCTGTACCAGAGGCCTTTATGTGCTACACATAATTTGTAAAAAGTTTTATATGGGCAAATCGGGTACATAAATAGTCTCTATTTTTCTAAGGGAATGCAATAAATGTAGCATCGTGAATAAATATAACTTTTATAATCCTTAAAAAAATACTGCGTTTATTGCTTGTTTTCAGTATATGTTAAGAAAGATGGTTAGCAACAGTATAGGAAATATGGCTTAGTAAATATTCTTGGGTCTTGTTTGTGAAGAACGCCCTTGGAGAAATCCAAGGTTTAGGAGATGGTCAAGCACCTGTTAGAGAAACTGCTTGGTGTCAGTGCTAGTGACCACTGAGCAAATGCTTATATGTAAATACCAGATTAAAGACTTGACGTGCTCTTTCCTGGCTATAGGAAAGAAGTCGGCCAGCTTGGCTGTGGCCGCTTACTTTCCTCACAGCCTCTTCAAACCTTGTTTTCTTTCTTAGCAAACTAATGATGCTTTTTTTTTTAAAAAAAACATGTTGAGTATTTTTATTTGTTTATTTTCATTCATGTGTCCATTGATCCAAAAGTATAACTTGAGTATTTTCCACTGTCAGCCACTGTGCCAGGCATTAGGGAGTCAACTCTGAAACAAATTTAGTTCCTCCCTTTTTAGACTAGTGGACGGATGTGGAGAGTTAGCAAACCATTACAGTAGATTGTGAAGTTTTTTTTTATTTTTTTGCTCTGCTAGATGACGTACAGAATACTGTGGGAATGTAGTTTCTGGAGCCTTGCCTTTTTATGTTTTCATGTTTATTTTATGTGTGCATGTGTGTTTACATGTTGGGCTTGCTTTGTTTGCAGAATTCTTTGCTCAGCTCGGCACAGGTGTGTGCACCCTGGCCCTTGACAGCAGTCTGATGGACCTGGTGCGCTATACAAGACAGGGCTTTCAGCGGCTGAAACAAGTAACCAAAACACCTTAATGGAGGCCCAGGTTGATCTGATGCCTTGGGAACTTTTTTGCACATTGGAAGCCTCAAAACAGTCCAGACGTTTGTCTCATCAGGATACCAAACTCGAGAAGAGAAGCACCATGAGATGGCCAGGACATTTGTTCACTGAAACTCAAGAACTATGGAATCATTGGTTGGACAGCATGGTTTTGTAGAAGCAGAAATGAGGAGGCTGGCCTCAGAGATGATCTTGCCTTTCCTTCCTAAAGGACAGAAGTGCAATGTAGCCTGAGTGGGTGTATGAATGGTCTAGAAACATTTCCGTCTTTTTTTAACCAGCAGGATGCAAATGAAATGAGGGGGAGCAATTTCAACTCTGGAAGCAAATTCACATCATCTCAGTAGCCACATTAGTTCATTCCTGGAAGGAATTTTTTTTTTTTAAACAGTGAATTGTGGTGTAGGGTTTTGTGGGTGATTTTTTTTTTCTTTTAAGTTTTGGGGGAAATATTTGTTTAATAAATTCTAATGGTCATCTATAAAACATAAGTTGTGAAGGACTCCGCTGTACCCCACTTTCTGCCATTGAACAGTGGCTTTGATAATACCAGGTATTGTCCTAATTTATAAAATTGAAGGCAACCCACCCCCCGACCCCCCATTGCCTGGATACTGCACGTTCAACCCAGCTCTGATTTCTCCGTTACTGTGCTGGAAGGCGGCCCCGTCGGGCTGGGGGAGAGAGGAGCTATAGCACACAGGGAAGCCGTCTCCACCCCCATCTGCATCCCCATCTCCATGTACCACGGAGGACCAGGCGCTGCCGTTCCCACCCCCTGCTCCAGAGAAAGGCAGTCACATTGACTGTACTCTGCATTTTCTACTTTGGGGAAGAAGGAAACCAACATTTATCCGTGACCAGATGGTTGAAGTGCTTTTTAATTTTTGTTTAAGTAGAGCTGGAATTTGAGGTGCTGATCTGTGGTCTCCAGTTATGTGGTAACTCACGTTGTCTACCAACTCAGAGTTTTGTCAGCGAACAATGAAAAATGAAATCTACTTCTTAGAGAGGCTATATTTTTCTGCTACGAATTACTTTATATTTATAGCGAAACTAGACTTGGAGAGCCCTTGATTGTCTAGGGTAAATTAACTCCCTGAGAGGCTGTGGAGATTTGGGGTGGTTTATTAGACTTTGAAGAAAAAAAAAAAAGTCACCACATGCCTTCAGTCCAGAGTGTTCTCAACCAACTAGATGTGATTAGATTGAAGAGGAACTGTGGCCTTCCCATAAGTTGTTATTGCCAGATTCTGTACATTAAACCAAGTTTATTTTGAATGACCTAAAGTGGGGGAAAAAACCAAACAGAATTCCCACATATCCATAAGCACAGATTTTTTTCATTGAAACTTTGAGGGTTATTATTGGAAGCATTATTTTGAGTGCAGTGTTTTTAGAAGCCAATTCTTTTTATCCCTTTTAGAAGTAGAATTTGCACATCTGTTACAATTGAGGAGTGTTAATGCTACAACTGGTTTATTTTTCCTCCTTCATCCCATTCCGCCCCCTTCGAGTTGTTTCCTACCAAGCATGTTTGACATTGTCATGTTTATTAGTGAAGAAGGGAGTACCATCTTTATTTATAATGAAGAGGTCTAAGGTCCATATGATGAATGTAAGAACTTTCTTGGTAATTGGTAACTATATAAAAGGGATGTGTAGCGGATGGGAGTGATGCTTATTTTTCACAGTATGAATTGTTGGTGTGAAGCTGTTCCTTCAGTGTCTTACAGTATCCAGCCTGTTCTTTGGTTATCACTAGCTAGGACAGAGGTCTGTTACTTCATGTTAGGTTAAAGCGAGAGAATTATAACAGTAGTAATATCTGAGCATAAGAACTTGATGTGCGATCTTGATGGACTGATTTCATTTACTGATGTTCTAAAGTAGAGCCATGGTCCTTTTTAAACTACTTGTTTAAAAAGCAACCTGTTGTTAAATGAACAGTAATTGCCTGGTAGGTTGTCTGCTTGTGGCATTGTGTGTCCATCTCTTATATGTAGGAGACAGGACACCAGAAGCAGGCTTATGTGGTTACTTAACATCTTTTTTCCCCCTTACTCCCTTGGCTATTCCTGCTCCCTTCAGCCCATCACTCCCCAATACAAGCCACCTGTCAGTTTGGAAGAGTGTGTTCTTGAGGACAGGTTCTGATCTATGCAGACAGTGCTGAGTGTGTGTGTCTTGTCAGGAGCCACAGTGTCCCCTTGACTGAAGACATTTCCAAGGCAATTTCTCAGCCATTTCTAAAAGAGGTAATTGCTTTTTCAGTGGCCTTATTCTTTGTGTGTGTGTTTTTTTCCCTGACCTTTATATTAAGATTTTATTTGTCCCTTAAAAAACTAATGAGTTTGCAGAGATCAGTTTGTACTGTTTTGATCATGGAATATTTCTGATTCTTACTGCAAAATGCATTTTACCTAAAAGAATTCTTAATGGCTACTTTTAAAGTAGAGTATGTAAAAGGGTAGTGGCTGATGAATCCTTAAGGTTCATAAGGTCTTTTCGCTGTTACAGTTGTATATAGAAATCTAAAGGATTTTTAAATCATTTGCACTTTTCCACTGCATGCTTAAATTTCCAAAGGCAAAATTTGTACTGAGGTAGATAATTGAAAGGACTTGATTATAAAATCAAGCCTTTGAATATGTGAAGTTCTTATAACAACCGTAATAGTACACACTTCACAGTGAGACAAATACAAAACATCTTGAGTAAAAATGGAGTGTAAAAACCTTGCCTTTGGCACTACAGTTTCATGTGTGTGTGTGTCTATCTTTACTAGGAAATGGAAGAACACTGTTATACTTTAAAAAACGTTGAATGTTTCTGTCCCTCCTGGAGGTAATTAAAATGTGAATCACTGAATTTAAGATTTTAGCTAGACTAAGGGCCCTGATAAACAATGATAAAACACTTCACTGAAATTTACTAAATTACACTGGGTTAAGAATGTGAAAACGTCCTTCATATGCCAGCTGTGGGAGGGTCCAGCTGGCATATTATCAGGACCAGAACTACAACAGGAGAATGACTTAGCTGGTGCTATGATTTAATCACAATACTGAATGGGAAAAGCCTCTTGATTTTTTTTTTTTTTTTGAACAAAAGGACCTTTATTTTATAATCTGTTTTGACCAAAATGTTTAGCTATTTCCCCTAGACAAATTGGACCACACTTATCTCCCTTGTCCTATATCCTTTAATTCCTGATCTCAGGATGTTTAGAAGCTAACAAACTACCCCTTTCTGGCTGAAAACTTGCCTTAATTGGTACCTTAAATATTAACGTTAGTAGGATCAGGAGCTTACTATTTTTTTTTTTATGATTCCTGTTCAGTAATTTTTAGAAGCAAAAAGAAACCATTGTGCCCTCCAAAATGAATAAAACTCTTATCTCTGATATATGAAAGGAAATGTGTGTGTACATATACACACACACAGACTAAGAGGCTGGCTAAATTGGATATATTTATTGTGCCTTTGTTGACCACACCTAATTTTGGAATAATGCTGTATTCATTTTGCCATGGCTTTAAGAGATGTTAGGTGGGTCTTGCACCTTTTTCTCTTCTGCTTCATGAAGTTTGAGGTGTATTTGTGCATCTTTAGGTAAATGAATCAAATAAGGCTTGATTCCCTACCTCCCACACAGATTCTACTTTCTCTTAAGGATTTGTTTGCCCAGACACTACACAAAATCTGTGAAAAACTCTGCCACCTCATCTCTTACATTCTTTACCACTGATTAGCAGTATTTAAATCTTGCTAGAATATTTGGCCTTCTTTTAGAAACATAGATGTAGAGATTTCCTCATTGTGGTTGTGGAGGGGTGTCAGGATTACAGCGGTACTTGGTCCCTTTCTCTCTTGCTCTAGTGGTTGCCTCTTTTGTTTTTGGTCCTACTTAGAATTTGTGGATGCAGGTTTTTTTCCTATACTTCTGTCATTTTGTTTGTGGGAGGTGGAGTGGCAGAATAACAAACATGGTGTTGGGGATTTTCCTTCAAACATTGCAAGTGGAATTTCCACCATACACACCTCAAATATCCAATCCAGTTGTGTCAGTCACCGAAAATCCGAGAAAGAATTGTGACCACTGGCCATGCTCTTTAGTTCCTATTTATGAGGCGTTGACAAGCACCCATCTACCACCTCTCTTAAGGTAGCTGTAAATTTCCTGTTGTCCTGGGGAAAGCCACTCTATTCTTTATGTTCATGGTGTGTTGGATATCAACAGGTACTGTGCTGGGTAGAGAAGTGCCTGTATTTCTCTACCCAAAACGGCCGGAAGGAAACTTACAGCTCCCTGGGAGCCTAGATATTACTGTATCGACCTGGAAGGACAAAGAAATAAGACCACTGACAGTGAGGCTGGTCGAGCTGCACTGGTCAGACCAGGCAGTGGCTGACCTAAGGAAGATAACTTGCTTTGCTTACAAGTAGATGTTTAAGGGATGCTGAATACAGGCAGTATTAACTTTTGTTAATTAACTTTTGTTTAAGAACAAAAGGCAGTACTCGCCTTTTGTTCAGGCCATCAACGTGTATTGTTAAAATTACTGCACATCCCCTCCTCAGATACCAAGTATACACTGTTCATGTTGGTGTGTGTGTTTATACACGTGTGTCCCAAATCTTGTGTTGGTTTTTTTTTGTTTTTCTTCTCCTGAATGTGATCATATTTTGGATGATACCTGAGCAGGGTTGCCTTTTTTTATTTATTACCATTATATATTATATTTTATATATTTTTTGCTTTCTTATAACTTTAGAGGAAAGTCAAATCTTGGTATTATTAAAATTGTTTAAAAAAGAATCGTCCAGTTGATAAATGAAGATCACTGGTCTGTCTCTAAAATAATATGAATTTTTCTTTAATTATTGTGTAATAATGTGCCAGCTATCTAGTCCACACAATGGTTTTGTATGTAGGATAGGGAAGCAGTGATGTGCTCAGTGGAAAGATGTGCAACACAGACAAGGGGGACTCCATGTGTTTTATCTACTTCAGCAATGGAACTGAAACTAGGGGCTTTTGTGAATAAAATTTAGCTGCCTTGTACAGTCCTTTGAAAGAGACATACGTGATCTGTGAGAATTATAGTTTCTTTTTTTAGAAGAAAAATTTGCAAAAGATTTTTCCAAAGATACCGTGCCACAGATCTTTTGTTTATTGTTCTCTGTAATAAGGATTAATTGCTGTTTAAAAAACCATGTAATTGACTTGTTCGTCTTCAAATTCTTTACTTTTCACAAGAGGATGGAGCTGTAAAAAAAAAAAATTAATAAAAATTTAGAGAAATCATTGGCGTGGAATCCGTGCTTTCACTTTGCTTGAATAAAGTAATTCCTAAAATTGCTATATGTAATTACCACTTATAGCCAAGGAGAGTGTCACATGGAGTAATTTGCCCTTATTCACAGTATGTATTTATTGTTGAAATGGGAAAGGGGCGGGCAGAGGGTGGCTCATCTTTCTGTTCAGTTTATTTTCAAGATTTCAATCACTGCCCTGGTGGTGCAGTGGTTAAGAATCCGCCTGCCAATGCAGGGGACATGGGTTCGAGCCTTGGTCCGGGGAGGTCTCACATGCCACCGAGCAACTGAGCCGGTGCGGCACAACTGCTGAGCCTGTGCTCTAGAGCCCGTGAGCCACAACTATTGAAGCCCATGTGCCTAGAGCCTGTGCTCCGCAACGAGAGAAGCCACCGCAATGAGAAGCCCATGCACTGCAACGGAGAGTAGCCCCCGCTCTCTGCAACCAGAGAAAGCTGGCACGTAGCAACGAAGACCCAATGCAGCCATAAATAAATAAATAAATAAAAGAAAAGATCTCAATCACAAATTAACCTAATACCACCAGTGTTGCTTATCTTAACATCAACTGCCAGGAGCAACAGTGACCAAATTTGCCTATTTTCAATTTGTTTGCTGGGTATGGGGAGACATATTTGTAGAATGTTGGTATGGGAAGAAATCTAAAGTCCATCTGGTTTCTCTTCTCTTTGCCATTCCAAAAGAAATGATACTCTAGGTGCTGAAAGATGACTTCCTAAATTTGTATCCTGGCTCTCTGGTTTGCTATGTGACCATGGGCAAGTTACTT